CTACAGGATTCAGTGAAAATAAACAACAGATATTTCAGCAAAGATGGTGGGTAGTATTAAGCTGTAAAAAAATACTTTGTATTTTACAAGAATTATTCAGATTTTCAGATGTTTATAGGTATGAAAATATGAATAAGCAAACATATTTTCTCTGTTCAGACACTCTTGAGAAGAAGCTCTTTTTAGAGGAGGTGGAGGACAAACTTCCTATTCAGTCAAAGGATGATTTGCTTGCCACAATGAGAGAGCTAAATATGCTTAGCAGCTCAGGAAAGAGTCAACAGAGAGCCAGCCTCTTCCACAAGTTGGTGTCTGAAATCCGTGGCTTGAAAAACGAGACACTGTCTGGAGCCGCTGATGAGATGATGAAGATCTCAGAGTGGCTTACGTGGCAGACGCTCTTTCAGTGTGGAACCGATGAATGTACCAGTGCCATCATGCAGATCCTCAGGACTTTTGATGAGTCAGCCAGAGAAGTGGATGCTATAGTTTATGCTTTGAGTCTCTTACCCCAGGCCAGCCCTCAGAAGGTTAGAGATATGCTAAGCATGGCCCAAAACAAGCCAAGCAAAGCCATCATGTACGCTCTTGCCAACACAGTGAAACAGTAAGTGCTAATGATATTTACTCAGTTAGCTTCTCAGTTAGGATACTGTAGGTCATGTGATTTTCTGTTCAGATTTAATTGAAATTATTATGGATAAATGTCCATATTTTGCACCAGACTTCCTCAAGACCAAGCAACGTCAACACCAGAAGTTAAGGAAGTAGCTGAATTCATGGAGTTCATGCTAGGTGATTGTTCTGGAGATGAAGACAGTACTTACCTTACATTAAGGGTATGTATCACATGTAACAAGACTCTGTCTATCTGTCTATCTATCTGATGAATATGCAATGAACATTCATTATTCAATATTAACCAAAGTATTTCTTGTATAGGTTATTGGTGTCATGGGAAAGTACATGGAGGGATTCCCATCTCTGAAGACTTCTCTCCTAAAATGCATGGGCCAGACGTACGCTTCTCTGCCAGTACAAAAAGCAGCTATCCAGGCTTTCAGACTCATGGAAATGGATTCAGATGTAAATCAACTCTTGTTAAGATTTACAGTGTTTAAATTATCCTTATTCCAAACTAGAAGTTCTTAAAGATGCATCAGTCAGCCAAATAAATTCAATTTAGTACTTGAAGCACTTGGACA